TGCGTCTGGGTGCGCGGTGCCTGCTTTACTGATGAGCGGCCCCTCTGTTCTAGCTTCCTTTGTCCCCAGCCCCCACGGGGTCCCGAGCCCACTTTGTACCTCCTCCGCCTTTTCCCGCTTTGGGGCACAACTGCCCTGCTGCCGCAACCCTTGCCTCCTTCAAGGCGGAGGGGGGGGGCGATCCCTCTCTCCAGGGTCCCCAGGGCTGTTCTGCCCGTTGGCCCGCTCTGCGGAGACGGTGTGGGGGGGTGGAGGGGAGGGGAGGTGCTGGGCCGGTCACCCTGCGCCCCCGGGACTCGTGCACGGCGGCCTCGGAGGCTGGCCCGCACGGGGGGGGGGGACTCGGGACGTGGGTGCTCCAGGTCGAAAGGGACCTTTAGTGACGGGCACTCATTCCGCTGTGACAGTGTGACAATTCTCGTTGCTGTCACCGTTACAGCTCTCTCTTCCCGAGTCTGCACGGCAGACACCCACGTGTGGGGCAGGGCGTGTCATTATTGCCTCCACTTTACAGGTGAGGACGCCCAGACTCGGCGAGGTGAGGTCCCTCAGCCAAGGTTCCCCCCTTCCCCACCCCCCACCGGAAATGGCAGCCCGGGGGGGCCTGAGGCCGTGGGAGCCTTTGGCCGCGCAGCCCTTACCGACCCAGGAGGGCTCCAGGGGGGAGGTGGGCCTGCCCCGTGCAGGCCACGCGGAGCAGGGCAGGGGCAGCGAGAGGAAGGCAGCTCTGCCCCTGATGCCGCCCCTTCTCTCTCCCGTCCGTCTGTCTGTCCGTCTCTGTGTCTGTGTGCGCGGGGCCGGCCCGCAGCGGCCAAGCTGCGGCTACGTGCTGTGCGCGGTGCTGCTCTCGCTGGCGGTGCTGCTGGCCGTGGCCGTCACGGGCGCCGTGCTCTTCCTGAACCACACCCACGTGCCAGGCACGGCGCCCCCGCCCGTCGTCAGCACCGGGCCCGCAGGTGCCAACAGCGCCCTGGTCACCGTGGAGAGGGCCGACAGCTCGCGCCTCAGCATTCTCATCGACCCGCGCTGCCCCGACCTCGCCGACGGCTTCGCCCGCCTGGAGGGCGCCCAGGCCTCCGTGCTGCAGGCCCTGGCGGAGCTTCAGGCCCGGCCGAGGCTGGCGGGCGGGCGGGAGCGGGAGCTTCTGGACACGCTGGCGGACCAGCTGCCCCGGCTGCTGGCCCGGGCGTCCGAGCTGCAGGCGGAGTGTGTGGGGCTGCGGAAGGGCCTCGGCGTGCTGGGCCAGGGGCTCGGCGCCCTGCAGAGCGAGCAGGGCCGCCTCATCCAGGTAAGGGGCCGGGTCTGCACCCGGGGTCCTGGGAGGGGGCTGGGGTGGCTGCCGCTGTGTTCCCCCCCCCCCCCCACCCAGTGCCGCCGCCTGACGTCCGCGGCCTCGCTTCATCCCCAAGGGCCCCGGGAGCCGGTCCCACCTGCCGTCCAGCAAATGAGCCTCAGGGAAGGGGCTCCTTCGTCCGAGGCCACACAGCTAGAGGCACCAGGGTTCAACCCATTTCCTACGCGCTGTCCAGGTGGCCCTGGGCGTTTGTGTAGCACCCTGTGGCATGTGAGAGTCCGGTCAAGTCCAGGGCTCGAGAGGCTTCCCAGGCATGCCGGTGCAGGTGGGGCAGGACCTTCCCCGCTATGGGTAGTGAATGGAGGTTCAAGGTCACGTGGCTGGTCAGTGGAAGCCCTCTGCCCAGCTGGGCCTCGTGGCCGGAGAGAGCTGTACCCCCTGCCCAGCGCCCTGTCCCCCATTCATTGCCATCTGATGCTCCCGGCTTTCCAGGGAAGGAGGGACCAGCTGCTGGAGTTCCCACCGGACCCTTACCTGTCCCCACTGCCCCTGCCCCTCCCCCGTGTCCCCTCCGCACCCGAGGCAGGTCCCAGCAAACACCCGGTAGTTCTGGGGGCAGTTTCCAACACTGACCGCGCCTGAAGCACCGGCAAGAACTTCCCCTCCTAGATCCCCTCATAGGATCAGGGGCTTAGGGCCACCTCATTGGTTTTCCACCATTTTCCAGAAAAGAAAACTAAGACCCGGAAAGGGACAGTGATTTGTCCAGGGTACAGTGGCCAAGTCAGGCCCGGCATCTGGCCTCCTGATGCCCTGCCCACCCTCCGGCTTTGTACCCCGTCACCCCTGTGTCTCAGGTCCTTAGTAGGGACTAGGAGGCGAGCCCCACCCTGCCACGGATCCCAGCCCCTTCCCGACCCCCGGGATGCCCAGGCATTTGCTCGCCCTGCAGCTCATGAGCAATAGGTCTTTTCCCTCCTCTGAAGGCCGCAGCTGGAGGAATTATAGCTCTTGTCGTCCTGTTTGGGTGACTGATGGGAAGGCATGTCCCCCTCCCAGGGTGGGGTGGGAGGTAGGGTGTTCAGCCGCCCCCTCCATCAGTCTGGGTCTCATCAATCTGGAGAGACCTCCAGATTTTCTGGGTGGTCTGCCCCCCCCCCCCACCTTGCTCTCCACATGATGGAGCCCCTGGCCAGCCAGGCCCTTAGGGCAGGGGGGCGGATTGGGGGGGGAAGGGGCCTTGGGGTGTCCCACCCACCCACCTATGCAGAGGCCTAGAGCTGTTCCTGCAAGACTGATAGTTTTAGGGGGGCCCGGGAGTGCCTTGGCTCACCTGACAGATTCACTTCTCCAAAGAATGTTTAATTTGACTCATTTCCTACAGACTCAGGGTAGCTTCAGAGACCCCATGTCGCTGGGGCTCCTGGCTCCCCTCCTCCAAGCATCCCAGACCCCCCAGGGGATTGGCCCAGACCTGGGTTTCCCCAAGCACTGCCCTCGGGCACCCTCTGTCGCAAGTGTCAAAGCCGCTTGCTAAAAGGCAGCCCTCCAGGGCGCCTGGGTGGCTCGGTCGGTGGAACCTCCCATTCTTGATTTCAGCTCAGGCCGCGATCTCAAGGTCACGGGATGGAACCCTGGGTCGGGCTCCCTGCTAAGCATGAGAGCATTCTCTCTCTTTCTCTCTCTCCCCCTCTGCCCACCTCCTCTCCCCTGCTGGCCCTCTCGCTCTCAAATTAAAATAATAACAATAATAATAATAAACATATAAAAGGCACCTCTCTGAACCTCATCACAAACCCCGGGGTCCCAACAGTTAAGCGTCAGGGTGGCTCTCGTGTGCACAAGCGTCTGAAACCCGCTGGCCTGGGAGCAGCAGGGCCGAGTGGTGCTGCCTGCAGGGGTGAGGCCGCGGCCGGTGCTGGGATCCAGTCCAGGCTCCACCAAGCAGCGGCTGTGGGACTTGGGCTGGTCAGTGGCCCTCCCCGGGGTGAGTCTCCTCACCTGTGACACGGGGGCGAAGGTAGCCTGTTCCCAGGAGGATTGTGGGAGCTCCCGACTGGGCCGGGCTCAGCCGGCATCTGGCGCATGAGAGACCAGCGTTTCTTTTATTATTACGGTGGAAATTATTTGTAAACTAAAGCCGCGGTCAGCCGGGGGCCACCGTTGCAAATCCCTTTTTGCAATCGTAGTGGCAGGAACCACGGAGTGCTGGTTACTATAAGCACTTGGTTGCACAGTGGCCCCAGGAGGTGGAGATCGCGGACCCATTCCATGGAGGGGCAGACTGAGGCTCAGAGAAGCAGAGGGCCTTGTTTCAGCTCAGTCACACGACTAACCCGAAGCAGCGACTCTGACTTCACTGCCCCTAAAAGCTGCCGCGTCCCCTTTAACGCATCCGTGCAGCTCAGCGAGCAGGGACTGACTTTCCCTATTAATTCGGGCATGTTTATATGTACATTTTCAACTTTAATCATTTGCTGCTTTAAACTGAGGTCTTCCCTGCCCGCCAGCAAGAGCAGGCTGCGCCTGAGTTTCTCGAGCGTGTCTGCTGGTCCCAGAAGGGTGGGCAGTACCCTGGAGACTTCGCCGATGAGCCTGGTGATCTCTGGTGCCCACACCCTGTCCCCTGCGCCCTGGGGGCCGTCTGCAGTGTCTGGGCCGCGGGGCTCCCCCCCACCCCCCCACCCCCACCCGCGGAACCTGTCTACAGGACACTACAGTAAAAGCCCAGGGTGGGATCGGCCACTTTGCCCCAGGGTGGCCCCCCCCCCCCCCGCCCGGCTCCGTGCCTCTCCCCCAGGCCTCAGCCCTCACTGCAGAGGAGAAGCTGGCAAGGAATGGAAAAGCTTTGCGGGAGCCCTTGCTTCTGGACGAAACGAGAATCCTATTTTGTAAACTGCTGGCAGTGTGTGTTTCTACCTTCCTTCCTCCAACGAGCTATTATCTGGCAAGTGACAGGTTCGGGCAGGCTCCACGTGCACTTGCTGGCCGGCTGTGCCCGTGACCCCGCTTCCCCCCTCCCTGTGGTCCTGCAGCCTCCTAGAGCCAAGCCAGGGTGGGGAGGTGACAGACCGCAGACCCCTCAGCCAGCAGGCACAGCCCAGAGGTCCCCGGGGCGGGCAGGGGAGGGGATCCGTGCTGCGCTGACCGAGCTACAGGCCTCCAGACCCGGATCTCGGGGAGGGTGGCTGTTAGCCAGCGGTGGGAGTGACACGGGTCGGGGACTGAGCACTCGGGCCCCAAACACGTGCCCTGGCGAGCCACCCCACACACCCACCCCGGAAAACCGGGTCCCGTCACTCTGGCTCACAAAGGGGGGGTTGGTTACTCTTCCAGGGTCACTTGCCCAGCGAATGGAGGAAGGTCCGAGTCAAAACCCAGGGCTGACGCCAGAGCCTGGGTCCCAACCACTGCCCCCACCGTCCTGCCCCCATCCCGGGCACCCTATGTGCCTTTCCTGCCCGTCAACCCCGGGGAAGCGGCCTGAGGTCGTTCTCCGTCAGGGACGGCTCCTCCCGGGCCTCAGTTTCCCCATTTGTAACCAAGGGACAGCAACTCAAGTCCTCCCTCCTGGCAAGGCTGCGGGGGGTGAGGTGAGGCAGTGGACGTGGGAGCTGTGACCCAAGAAAGTGGAGTTTGCATGGGGGCTGGGCGGGGCGGGTGGGGTATCCCAGGGCCCCCTCCTGTTTGCAGAACCATCACCCCTGCCTCCAGGGCCTTGCTGGGGGGACCGGGAGAGACCGGGTGAGGGTGTCTCGTAGCCTGAAAGGTGCCTTAGGAATTCGTGGAACGAGGTGGGCCAGGTCCTGCGTGCCCTGCTGTCGGCCCCGCTTCGGGGCTTCATTAAGTCACCCACCCACGTGTACCTGGCAAATGGGTGGGCTGGGATTTGAACCTGGTGCCAGGTGCCCACCTGGGCTTTTGTCTCCAGTCACCTCACCGGGGCTGAGGCCCAGAAATGGATGAGGACAGGGCCTGGGGCGCAGCAGGGGCACAGGTCTCTGTTGAAGCCCCTCTGTCCCTTCCCACCTGAGCCCCCAACCTGAGACCTCCTCGGATGGGGGCCAGGGCAGGGTGGGGACCTGCCGTCATACGAGGAGGGGCTGGCCCGTGCCGGCGGGTGCTGGCAGGGGCCCCCCGTGCTCCACAGCTTTTCTCCGAGAGTCAAGGCCACATGGCTCACCTGCTGAACTCGGTCAGTGACGTACTAGACGCCCTGCAGAGGGACCGGGGGCTGGGCCGGCCCCGCGTCAAGGCTGACCTTCAGAGGGCACCTGCCAGGGGATTGCGGCCCCGGGGCTGCGCCAGCGGTGAGTGGGGTGCCCAGCTTTGTACCCCCGTGGTCCCTCCCCCACCCCTCTGATAAGGAAACGCTGTTCCTGTTCGCTCAGGACTTTCTGCAGCCAGGCAGCACGGAGCACCCGACCTGCACCCTTCTGTCGAGCCCTCTCCCGGCCCACTGTGCCCATTTTCCAGATGAGGAAGGCAAGGCTCAGAGAGGGTGCTCACTCACCCAAAGGCACGCAGGGAGTAGCAGAGCCAAGGTCTGCCCCCAAGGCTGGTGCCCTGGGGCCCACATGACCCCGCAGGGTAGACTGACAAATCAGGGAGACCCAGGGACGGAGGGGGGTGGGGAGGGACACGGGTGCCAGGGCACCGCCTTGACTGCATTCCCTGTCGCAGGCCCTCCGCCACGCGACTGCCTGGACGTGCTCCTGAGCGGACAGCAGGAGGATGGCATTTACTCAGTCTTCCCCACACACTACCCTGCCGGCTTCCAGGTCTACTGTGACATGCGCACGGACGGCGGCGGCTGGACGGTGAGTCTCCCGCGCTGCGCGGCCGGCTTCCTCTCGGCCCCGCAGACGCCCAGGCAGGCCGGGGTGACCCAGGGGACTGTGCCCACGAACCTGGCTACTCTGAGCAGCCTCTCACTCAGCCTTCTGCCCTTGGCCCAGGCCTGCCTGTGTGCCCTCTGGCCCCCACAAACCTGCCTCGAATCTCACCCGGGAACGCCACACCCCCAGAAACCTGCACAGGGCAGGTGGAGGCCATGAACTGAGGCCCCGTCACCTGTCCGTGGAGCCACCTTCTGCTCCCCGATCCTCGAGGCTCTGGGAACACAGTGCTTGCCCCGGGAGTGTCGGGCAAGTGGGGGATGGGCTCTGTGACGAAACGGGGCGCCTGTCGCCGATGTGAGTTCAAGGGCGTGTGTAGATGCTGTCTTCTGAGTTACCCGATACGTGATGTGTGTGCCCCCTTTTGGGGGGGGGGGCACACGGCAGAGAGCAGAGACCCCGATGACTTCCTGCCAAAGAGCTGTCGTGACTTCCGTGACTTTCCCGCACCTTCTGGTTCCTGCCTGGGTGGGAAGTAGGAGCCATGGAAGGTCCCCACGGCCAAGGGAGGGCGGGGAGGGGTGGCCATGGGTGGCCCTGAAATCTCCCCGGAGCTGGGAGAAGGGGGCGGAGCAGCGGGGAGAGGCCCCTGGCTGGACCCTCTCAGTAACACTTGTGGACACGGAAATGTGAGCTTCATACATTTTTCCCGTACTCTCCAACTATTATTCACAAGATATTTTAAGATATTCTTCTTATGCTTTTTAAAAGCCATTTAAACATGTTCCAACCATTCTTGGCTCACAAGTCAGGTGAAAACAGGCAGCAGGCAGGCGTTGTCCTGGGGGGCCGTGGTTTGCTGACCCCCCCCCCCCATTCTAGAGCTGGGATAGGAAGTGAGCTTGCTGTCTCTCTCCCACTCAAATCGGTGGCCTTCCAACCCCCTCCTGCGGCTCCGTCTTGGGGGCCGGGCTTCAACAGGGCTGCCACTGGCCATTGGGTGACTTTGTATAAATTAAAAATGCATGTCCTTTCCTTTTGGCACACTGGCGCCCTGGGCTTGGCAAGATGAGTAGGTGTGAGCCTTGCTTCTTGGCCAGACGCCCTAGAGCAGTGAACAACCTATACCACTGTCCCTGGACATCTGCATCCACCCCGAAAGCCGCTCAGCGCCCCCGAAGTCGGCCGTGGTTGGGAGGCCCACGGACAATGAAAGCAGGGCCAGTGAAGCCGACTTTTTAAGGATTCTCGGCCTCACATTTAATTTCAAAAATGGGCAGGTTTTGAGCACCAACTGCGTGCGGGGGGCTGGGGAAGCACAGAGATGGGGAAGGCCCTGCCGCAGTCGTCCCAGACAACTTGGCAACTGCGAGGATTTGGGGGGCAAGAAGTGACGGTAAGCAGAGGTGGGGGAGGCTCTGTGCGAGCTTCCTGGCGAAGGGGGCTTTGCTGATAAGCCTTAAGAGGCCGGCGAAAACACGAAGTGGGAAGGAAAGAGAAGGCTTTCCAGGCAGAGGAAGCAACCTGACAAGGGTCTGGGACTCAGGAGGCACGCAGCCTCTCCAGGAAACAGAGTCAACTGGGGGCCGGGGCATGTGATGAGGTGAGACTGGGGCCAATAACCCAGACTGCGGGGTTTGGGCCGGGCGCCGGGGAGCTATTGAGGGTGCTGGAGAGAGGAAAGACGGCATAAGAACTGTGCCTCCGGAGCTATAACCCGACTGTGCATCCTTGAGCGGGGCAGGGAGAGTGTAGAGCAGGAGGCGGTTCCCTCATGCCGCCGACAAGCCTGTAGCTGAGCCTCTGCCGGAGAGGTCGGGAGCTTGGCGGTTGCGCACTTGGACTCCGGCATCCACAGACGGACCCGGGTGTGGCTCTCGGTCCTGCTGTGTGATCTTGGGGAAGGTACTTAAGTTCTCTGAGCCTCGGCATCCTTAGCTGTAAAATGGGGATACCCACTAGCCTTACTTAGAGGTCTTAACGGCAAGCAACAGGAAATGGCTGATTTAAGCAGGAAAGGAATGTACCGGAAGGAGGCTGGGAGGCCAGAGAAACCAGCTCAGGGCCAGGCAGCCAGGAACGGAGTCCCCCAGAGCTAGCCAGGCATGACCTGGTAGAAAACCCCCTACCCCAGTGCCGCTGGCACGGAGCCCTGGGCACAGCTACACCTGGGCACGGGCACCCCCACCAGGACGGGTCCGGGCCTGGGATGCAGTCTGCGGTTCCTTTCAAGGAGATCCCCAGTGTCCCTGCCTCTTTGCTTCGCCAGCCGTCGAGCCAGCGGCTGTTCTGACTGGTGGGGCCGGGGCCGCGTGCCTACGACCCTCACCGCAAGGGAGACTGAGAAAGCCAGCGGCTGGAGCCTTTAGCTGCCATGGTGGGAGTCATCCCTGCCTCCCCCCAAATCTCAGAAGATGGGGAAGGACGCAGGTTGACTGTGTGCAAGACACTGGCGACCCAATGATGACCGAGCTATGGATGACCCCGCCTCTTACCGAGCTCTTTCCCAAGAGGGCGTCCACCATAGTCCAGGGGACAGTCGTGGGGACCCGAAGCAGGGCACGGGGTCAGCCGTTTCCCAGGGGTCCCCAGATGGGCTCCCAGGTCTCTGCCTTTGGCACCTGGGGCCTCAGGGAGAGGCTGGCAGGACGCCTCCGTTTCTCACCAAGAGGCTTGGTGCCATCTCTGCTGTGCTGATGTTCAGGCAGAGGGGAGCAGGAAGCTTCTCCAGGAAATGCGTGGAGGGACCTGAAGGCGCGGCAGGCCGGACGGGGTCAGCTCTTTTGAAAGGGGTCGGCTCTCCTGAGCTGGTGGCGACAGGGGAGGCCCGAGTGAGGCAGATGGGCACGGGGGCCTGGCGAGTGCGTTCAAGAGGGCAGAGCCGGTGTGAGAGCAGCTGAGGGTCCCCCAAAGACCCGGGGACAGACAGACCCACAAGCCTCTCTTCAAGCTCCGGAGGAGAGCCCTTACGCCTCCCGGATCCGCGTCTGGGGGCTAAAAGCTCTCTTGTTTTCCTAACTCAGAACATCTGAGTTACGGCGCGTGCCTCTGGGAACCCCCTCGGCAGGCAGAGCAGCATCAATGCGACAGCCAGTGCCCAGAAATCAGAGTTAAGGGTTAGGACGGGCTTAATGAAAGACCAAGGAGGCAGCACAGGCGCTTCCTCTCGGGTGGACGTGACGCCAGTGTCCCGGAAAGTCCATCAGGATTTGGGCCGGGAGGAGGGCGACATCCAGGGCCCGGGCTGCAGGGGCCATTACAGGGGAGTCGATGAGCAACGCCAGCCACCCGCCCCAGCCCTCCTGCTCAGACACCTGGATCAGGGGCCCCGCAAGAAAGGCCGCTCTCGGCTGAGAAGTGCTCGTGAGCCCGATAAACGTTAATATCCATTTGGACTTCCGTCAAAAGCAATCTTTGCCCAGATACCTCTGGGCATCTGTCAGGATCACCTCCCTGCCACACGGAATCTCTCGGAAACTCAATTGCTGTTTGGGAAGGAGCCGGCGGCCGTCTCTCTGAACCCGGTACAATCCATCGTCATTAGGCTCCGTGTCTAAGCTGCCAGGCCTCAAGTGCGGACACCGGAGAGCTCTCCCTTGGCGGACGGGGCACCGGGGGCCGCAGCCACAGCCTGCTTCCTGGAGAGACCAGACCCGGCAAGCGTGGGGCTCGGCAGCCCCGTCCGCCTAGGGGCCGCTTCACGGATTATACACCGCTGCCCTGCCTGGTACCCCGCCCACCCAGCCTCATGCAGGTCCGTGGAGCTCACTGTCACACGGTGACTGTCATTTATTCAACCACTGAGCACCAACCACAGGCCAGAGGATTCAACGGCGAGCTCCTGGCCCGGTGGGGGGCTGGGCACAGCAGCTGACTTGCGCGAGGGCCGTAGGGGTGGGGGCCGGGGGCGTGGGGGAGAGCCCCTGACCCAGCCGGGGGCGGCCAAGAGAGGCTTCTGGACGGAGAGGTCCATGCGCTAGGGGATGAGGTGAGAACGGCGTTCCAGGCAGAGCGAAGGTGCACCCGGTGTTGTGCACAGAGGTGGCAGGGCTCGGTCTGGGTCTGCGGGATCTCTGCTCTGCTGGCCTCTGGGGCCGGAGGGGCCAGGGATAGAGGAGGGAGGTTTTGTCCCGAGGGTAGATTGGGCTCCTGCCGCCCTCAGGATTTCCCCAGGTGGGGAGTGGCCCAGAGGAGCTGGGGCCCCGGGCACGGCGAGGGGGGACGCGAGTTCTGCGTGCCCTGTATCGTTACTGCAGGAAGCAGGAACTGCCAGGTGGGAAAGAGGCCACATGTGGCTCCTGGGGGCGAGGAGGCCACAGAGGCAGGTGGACACATGCCACAAGGCCACCTTTGGGCTGATGCGGCCACTGGCCCTGACTGATGAGCCCAAGCCTTCCCCCCACGCTCATCAAAGCCCATAGTGGCCGGGGGCACATGAGGGCATGCTGATTGTCACGGCTGCTCTTGAACTTGACGTGTGCACCCAGCCCCGCCCCCGCCCCTGCCCCTGAGAAGCAGGAGGGAAGGCGGGAGGGAGGGGCCGCTTCCTGCTGGCCCGTGACTCTGGGCAGGGGGCCCAGCCTGGCTGCCCACCATCCGTGTTCCCTCCCCACCGGTCACACGAGTGACCGCTCGCACCTGTGGGGGTGACACGTCACCTCACTGAGCCTTACTTTCTCGTCTGCTAGACGAGGCTAATAGAGCGCCGTTCACGGGGCGGGGGGGGGGGGGGGGGAGAGCGGCAGAGTCCTTCGCAGGCCGTGTCCCTGCGAGGGAGGAGCGGGGTGAGCAGGGGTCCGTGCCGAGCCTCGAGGATTCGTTCCCTGTGAACAGAGGAGCCGTGCTCCCTCCTATAGGATCTTACGGTCCGCGGTGTTTACAAGGGAGGAAGAGTCACCAAAACCGGGGCCGGATGTCCCCATTTGGAAGCTGATGCGTGGGACCAGGCTGGCTGTTTCCAGCTCACCTCCCCCCTGGCCTTG